TCCTTCCTTCCTTCCTTCCTTCCTTCCTTCCTTCCTTCCTTCCTTCCTTCCTTCCTCCCTCCCTCCCTCCCTCCCTCCCTCCCTCCCTCCCTCCCTCCCTTTCCTTCCCACCCGAGGACAATTTTCTACTTTTTGTTCAGATAGAGTGGGAGGGAGAGAGAGGAAGAGAGAGAAACATCGACATGAAAGAGACACATCGAATGGCTGCCTCCCGCAGGGCCCAAACAGGGTCGGGGACAAACTGTAACCAAGGTACATGCCCTTAGGGGGAACCGAACCCGGTCTCTCTGGACCACAGGCGACGCTCTAACCGCTGAGCCAAACTGGCCAGGGCCAGAGCCCGCATCTTTAAGGCTCCCCAGGTGATTACTACGTACAGCCAAGTTCGACAAGGACTGCTCTCAGGGATCTGCTGGAATCCTGGCCCTCATGGGAGAACATTATCCCTATAACCCTCTCCAGTGTGACTGCTTTTTCTCCTCCCTGGTGTGGAGCAAGTGTCTTTCTTCCCTTTAGAAACCTTCCCTCTCCTTTCTCTACAAAAGTCCCTAGCTGTGACTGTCAGGTCATTTGACAATACAAGTCATGTTCTACCTCCCACCAACCCCCCCCCCACCACCACCACCACCACCACTGTCACTTCCCCATATTGTTTGAAGATTTTATTCCAGGATTCTCTTAAACCATGCTAAAATTTGTCCAGAAATATATAAAATCATTCTTAGACTGTATTGGGCATTTCATGTTCAAAAAAACATAAATATCTCAGTAGAAAACCCATACAAAAACTGTAATCTGTCCCATTTAGATTGATGCAGAGTGGCAGTGGTGGGTGTCTTCTTGGCACTCCTTTCCTCTACATGTCTTTGCTGTTTCAACACAAAGGGGTACTTCTGTTGCAGGACCTTTGTACTTGATGTTCCTTTCTCCCTGAGGGCTCCTCTCATCATGATCTTCACCTGACTTGCCCCCTCACCTCATTCAGGTCTTTGCCTAAGTGCTACCTCCTCAAATCGCTTTATTTCAAGTTGCTCACCCATACTCTCAGCCTTTCTATTTCCTTCCCCTGCTATCTTTTTCTCCATTGCACTTATCACTTGTTGACATAATATGTATTTAAATTACTTATTTGCTTCTTGTCTGCCTCCCAGGTGAGAATATTGTGTATGTTTTGTGCACTGCTTTATCTGCAGTGCTTATATGCCTAGCACAAGATGAATACTTATAACTATATACTGAGTTAATCAACCCTATGAGGTAGGCATTATTTTATCCAGTCACACAGATTTTTAAAAATTGTGCCCTTATAACTCCCTGTGGTATTAACTTGTCAAACAATATTTATTTATGGCCTAATGGGTGCTGCACAGTGCTGGGTTAAGGCTGGTGACCAGTCAAGGTGCCAAGTCTGAGTCAAGCCCTTTCATTGTGGTTGGTTCCTCTTCCTTCTCTTGGAGTTGCCCCTTTAATTTAGACTCATCCCCATGATCCACCTGAAGCAACACACAGACAGGAAGAGTCTGGATGACATGAGCATAAAACATATGAGAAGAGGGTTAATAGACGCAAAACTAAGATGTCAGGAATCTGTCACTAGAGAAATGCATTCTAGTGCTGGAGAATGCTTCTGAACTGTTTTAATTTCATCAGATCAGTCAAATCCTGGGAAGACTGTACCTACCTATCTGCAATAAGGCTGTGTTTATATAACAGGCAGATAATAATGATATGCAGATAGATTTAATTGCATATAAATCTATGCAATTATGTGGGAGAAGGGGAGCAGCAGCAGACAATGAACCATAACTAAGTGCTAGTCTTGTCCATACACTGCTAAATGCAGTGACAGTTTTATTTCTTGATAACATAACCCTATGACATAACACTATTATTATCCCTGCTGTCTGAACACAAAACACAGACAGGATTGAAATAAACAGGTCCAACCATGGTGTCAGAGGGAACACGACCACAAAGGTATCAACTATGAATATAAATTTTGTCCATTCTGGTTTTACTCCACTTAAATCCACCATCTATGGAGAGTGGTCAGGTCATTTAACACCACCAAGCTAATATCTGTACTAAGCACCTAAATGAGCATTATTTTGTTTAATCCTCACAACTGCCCTATTAGGTGCTTTTCTTGTCTTCATTTCAGAGAATAAGAAGCTGAGGTTTAGAGAAGTTAAACAATGTACCCAATATTTAAAGTGATGTCCGACTCTAGGATTGGTCTATTCTATCATTCAATACACCTACTAACCTCTGTGCTTTTGTGAACAACAAAAAAGGATGTGTATAAAAACATCTAGGGCCCTGGCTGGTTTGGCTCAGTGGTTAGAGTGTCTGCTCACGGACCAGGGAGACCTGGGTTCGGTTCCTGCTAAGGGCACGTACCCTGGTTGCAGTTTGTCCCTGGCCCCGGTTGGTGGTCATGTGGATGGCAGCCAATGGATGTGTCTCTCTCACATCAATGTTTCTCTCTCTCTCTCTCTCTCTCTGTCTCTCTCTCTCTCTCTCTCTCCCTCCCTATCTGAAGATAAATGCAAAAATGTCCTCGGGTGAGGGTAAAACAAAAAAACACCTAGGAAACATTGAAAAATGTCAATTAATATTACAAAATCAGTTGAGAAATTTTTTTAGAATTTAATAGCATTTCTTAAATGTTTACTATGTTCCTGTTACAAGCATTATTTTATGTAATCTTCACACAAGCCCAGGAGGACGGCACTGCTCTAAGTTTTAGACGTTAAATTACACGTGTTTTTCTGAAACGCTGCTAAAATGAGTGTGATCCAGCAGCATAAGCGACTCTAAGGAAATATGGTAGTGCTGTCTAACTTCTTGTATTTTGGTGGAGAAAACGCAGGAGCTGGAGGGCCTTCCCAGATCTCAACCAGGCACAAGCCCAGCCACCGCGTCAGAGAGGACACATGGTTTCAACAGCAATGAAGCCATTACTTTTGCTGAACAGGGATGTAAGAATAGTGCTGCTTTATTAGGGCCCTCTGACGGAGCTGCAAAGTAAATCCAGTCCAGGCTCACCGCTGCTCGAGATGCTCTAGGGCCTCCAGCCCTCGTGAATTTTTCCTTGAGCGCCTGGGTAGTTGCTGGAGCGTGGGGGCAGGCTTCGCTGCATCCAGAGCTTTAAGGGTGACCTCCTCCTGGGTGACTGGGATAGACCCTTACAATCCACATGAAAGGTGTCAGTTTTTAAATTTGTTTTGCGCCTACCATTTCCCCGATATACATAATGCGGCAGCAACACCAGCCAAGAACCAACGCCCGCGCGTGTTCGCGCGCGCCTCCGTGTCGGCTGGAGTTCGTGGAGGGATCGAGTGGCTAGGGGCGAACGCCCGAGCCTGGGGCGTTCGCCCCTAGCCGAACGCGAAGCCCGCAGTCACAGCGCCCGCCCTGCGCGCACCCGACGGCGGTACGGCCCCACGCTCATGCACACGCACGGGAACGCTGGGTTCCCGCGTCCCCGGAGTTGTGCCGGCGCCGGGAACTGGCGGGAGCTCAGGAGTCGGAGCGGAAGGCGGGAGCTCCAGGCGGGGCGGGTGCCCGGGAGCCGCGCTCGTGCAGACGCTCCTCAGTTCCCGAAGCCCCGCCCCTGCCCCGCCTTCCCCTTCTCCCGCGCGCGGGCTCGGCGCGCCCCAAGCCGCGCGCGTGCGCGCGCGTGCGCAAGCCAGGGCCCTCGGGGGTGGCCCCGTAGACTCCAACGAAAGCGTCGCAAGGTCCCGGATTAACCCTTTCTCTGCTCGCCAATTTTTAGGCCCGGTCTGGTTCCGTGCCTGCGCAAGCCGGCGGCGCGCCTTCCCCCCAGCCCGCACCGCGCATGCACGGGAAGGGGGGTGCCGGTGGGGGTTTTCAAGGCCGGCTAGACATTCTGTGCTCGTGCAGGAGGAGGGCTGCTACCATCAGGGACGTGCACGATTCCCCCCCACCCCGCCCTCTCCCCAAACTCCAAAAAAAAAAAAATCCAAAACACACTGCCACCCACCGTGCCCCCACGCCCCGCGTCCATCCCGTCCCCGGCCTGCGTGCAGCGAGCGCGGGGAGCCCGCGGGGAGTGTCTGTGGCTGTGCCAGGCTGCAGGTAAGCGCGAGCCGGGGGAGCGGAAGGGGCCCAGATCATCCGCGAGGCGGGCACGGGGGCGGCTGGCGCGGCGGGGCGGCCCGGAAGAAGCGCGTTCTCGCCGTGCTCTGGGGCACCAGCCAGCTCCAGGATGTGCGGGCGGCCGGCGGCGGCGCGGTGCGAGCGGGGACGGGCGTGGGCCGGGGCTGGACCGGGCGCTCTGGGGGCTGCGCAGGCCGGCGAGCTAGCTGGGACAGCAGCCGGGCGGCGGCCGCAGCGGCCCCGCGCGCGCGCGCTCGCCGAGCCTTGGCGGCGGAGTTCATGTCTGTCCTCGCTCGCACCTTCGCAGTGCTCCGCGGTGAGGGTAGGGACGGCCCAGAGCCTGGCGCCGAGTGGGGCCGGCCGGCCCGCCCCTCTGAGCCAGGGACCCTGCCGCGCCGCCCCCAGCCGCCTGCGGAGGAGGGGGCCGGGACCCCCGCGCTCGCACTCCCGGGTGCGCCCGCCGAGCTCGGGAAGCCGGCCGCGCGCCGCCCCCGCCCCCGGCCTCGGAAGGGCGGGGGAGGGCCCGGCGCGAGCCGGCCGGGGAGTGCGCGGGGCGCGAGCTCCGGGCTCGCGGGCGGTACGGGGCGCGGCGCGGCGCGGGGCTGCGGAGATCGGCCACACGCCCGCTCCTGCTCGCCGCCGCCGGGACCGCCGTGGGCTCTTCCTCTCGCTCTCGGAGCCGAGGCCCGCAGCCCGCGCGGGAAGCCTGAATATGAAAGGGAAAGTGGCCCTTGCACCTCCAGGCTCCCAGGCCGAGGCCGGAGCTTTTGTTTGGGAAGAAATGCAAACGGCCTTATCCACTCCCCCACCTCCCGGGCAGAAAGAAATGAGGCCGTGGTTTGGAGAGACTCTGAAGGCTCCTGGATGGCTCTTGCGCTTCGTTCTCTTTCTCCCCACCTCGAAGTTGCGAGCTTTGCACAGGGAAGTCGTGCCGCCGCCATTGTCGCGGCTGTTCAGGGGTAGGGGAGGCGGCTGCCGCTGCTTATGTAAGTTTGACTTTGCTGGAGCCCCCACTCCCTTTTCTGTAAAGGCGCCTGGGCGCGCTGGCGATTTGGAGAACCGTAATAAAGGGGCAGCTTTGTTATGGAGGTGTAGTTGGGGCTATCGCTTTCTCACCACCTACAACATACTGGCAATGAGTATCTTCCAGTTTGACTCACCTGACTTAGCAGTTGGAATATCTCAGTGGAAAAAAGTGGCCCTCAGAGATCTTGAAACAGTGGAGGCCAAATAACACCCTACCTAAAAGGGGAAAAAGCACATTTATATGTATATCTACTCTTCCTACCTAGCCCATGCACTTTTATCCCACAAGCCCTAAGATACAGTTACTGGCAGCAGTAGTAAATGACCCGGTGGGAAATTTGTCCTGGCAGCTTTCTTTTGGGGGTGACTACAGACTAGGTTCAATTTAGGGAACAAAGTCGGAGGCATCCCAAGAACTAATTTTGCCCAACCCTCACACTTTGCAGATAAGAACAACCCCACCCCCGCTGCTTTAGGCAGCTGATTGCTGTGTTTGCTTTTCTGCAGCGGGAGCTTTTTGATAGTTTTCAGGATTTTGGTCTCCTGGTTCATGTCTTGCACCATAGTTTTTGGATAACACTTGCAGCCCAGTCCCTTGGTCCTACCACACTAACGTTTATTTTTGTGATCACTGTTCAGTAGGAGGAACTTTTTATGTTTTTCAGGATATTGGTCTGCAGGATGGTGGGGATAGGAGGCACTTTCTGGCTTTTTCTGGTATCTGGAGCTATCAACATCTATACATGGGCTTTGTTTATGAGGACAAATTATTTAGTGGTTCGTAATAATTTCCTTTGATTTCCTGCGCACAGCCCCTCCACACTCCAAGTGCTGCAGCCCTTACCTGTTCTCCTTCATGTCTTAGAGCTGGACTCGATGCTGCCAGCCATCCTCCTCTCTGTTCCCAACCTGAAAATGGGTACATGTGCAAGTGGCAGGATAAGAAAGGAAGTTTATTTTTTAAAAAACCTTGTTTAGCATTTGGGATAGAAGAAGATCCTACCTTACTCTTCTGTGTCTTTTTCTCTTGTAGGACTGGCGTGCCCCTGATCAGTTATTCTGATCTGAAGAATTTGGTGTTTCAAGCATTAAGACAATAGCCTGACTTGTTCATGGTAACTATAACTTTGGATATTAAATTTTGAAAATAAGGTTGGATATTTGCTCTAATAACACACACACACACACAATAATTATGTATTAGCACTTCTGTTTCTCTGTATTTTCCTCACTTGTACTTGTTGAATGAAAGGCAAACAATGTTTTTGAAAGGGAAAATAGAATACGTTATTTTAAAAAGATCAGTTTCTCTAACATTGTGACAGATGTCTTTTGTACCAGTTTTAAATTCCTTTTGCTTGTACAATAGTTGCAGCACTTGTCAAGTACATCCAATCGTGATGACATTTTTGTCTGGATGGCAGATAGACTGGCATCTAGAAAGAATGAAACTGCTCATCACCTATCTTCCCAAATTTTATCTGATTTTTTGAGGGTCATTTTGGACCTTAACCATCATTCAGAAGTGGCCCAAAACTGGTGTGGAAAAACTAGAAGACAACACCAAATGAGATATTTTCGCTATGAAATTCCTTCCTAGTTCTGCAACAGTGATTTGTCATTTCTGTCTAGGAAGAGAATATTGACTACTGTTAGTTATTTTACTGAATCTTTCTGTACATGAAATTATAGTAGATGCAACAGACAGGAATGGTAGATGTTTGCCTCAGAACTGTTTCTTAAACCTTGAAACTGAGTTGTCATTATTACCTCTACTTGTCAGGAAGCACAGGTTTTGGAGATAGATTACCTGGATTTGAATCCTAGCTCTCCACTAAATAACTAGAATAATGGGTAGGTTCCTGACCTCATCTATGAAATAGAGATAGTAATACATGTTTCATAGGTTTAGTTGATAATTACATTTGCAAAGACAAATAAAGCATATAGAACAATACCTGGCATGTACTGTGTACTTAATTAAAGTTGCCTATTATTAAAACTAGGCATATACTTAGTAAGTAGAAATAACAATATGGAAATTCTTAAGTTGGGTTGTCTTTTCTACTCATATTCTTGAACCACTCTTAATGACTTTCTGAAATTGTTAGGTACTAAAAATTGATTAGAAAATGAAAATCTACCTGTGTTTTCTATATGGAAAAGTGTTGTTCATAATTATCAAACTTTCTTTTTAAAATTTTTTTGTAGGAGTTTTTCATCAGTATGTCTGAAACCATTAAATATAATGACGATGATCATAAAACTCTGTTTCTGAAAACACTAAATGAACAACGCCTGGAAGGAGAATTTTGTGATATTGCTATTGTGGTTGAAGATGTGAAATTCAGAGCACACAGATGTGTTCTTGCCGCCTGCAGCACCTACTTTAAAAAGCTTTTTAAGAAGCTTGAGGTTGATAGCTCTTCAGTAATAGAAATAGATTTTCTTCGTTCTGATATATTTGAAGAGGTCCTGAACTACATGTATACAGCAAAGATTTCCGTGAAAAAAGAAGATGTTAACTTAATGATGTCATCAGGTCAGATTCTTGGTATTCGATTTTTGGATAAACTCTGTTCTCAGAAGCGGGATGTATCTAGTCCTGATGAAAATAATGGCCAGTCAAAAACTAAATATTGCCTCAAAATAAATCGCCCCATTGGAGATGCTGCTGACACTCAGGATGATGATGTGGAGGAAATTGGAGATCAAGATGACAGTCCATCTGATGATACTGTAGAAGGCACCCCGCCGAGTCAGGAAGATGGCAAGTCGCCTACAACTACGCTCAGGGTTCAGGAAGCGATTTTGAAAGAGCTGGGGAGTGAGGAAGTTCGAAAAGTAAATTGCTACGGCCAGGAAGTAGAATCCATGGAAACCCCAGAATCAAAAGATTTGGGTTCCCAGACCCCTCAAGCCTTAGCATTTAATGATGGAATGAGTGAAGTGAAGGATGAACAGACACCAGGCTGGACAACCGCTGCTAGTGACATGAAGTTTGAGTACTTACTCTATGGCCACCATCGGGAGCAGATTGCCTGTCAGGCATGTGGTAAGACATTTTCTGATGAAGGCAGATTAAGGAAGCATGAAAAACTCCACACAGCAGACAGACCATTTGTTTGTGAAATGTGTACAAAAGGTTTTACCACACAGGCCCACCTGAAAGAACACCTAAAAATCCACACAGGATATAAGCCCTACAGTTGTGAGGTGTGTGGGAAATCATTTATTCGCGCCCCAGACCTAAAGAAGCACGAGAGAGTTCACAGTAATGAAAGACCGTTTGCATGCCATATGTGTGACAAAGCCTTCAAACACAAGTCCCACCTCAAAGATCATGAACGAAGACACAGAGGGGAAAAGCCTTTTGTGTGTGGCTCATGCACCAAGGCATTTGCCAAGGCATCTGATCTGAAAAGGCACGAGAACAATATGCACAGTGAAAGGAAGCAGGTTACCCCCAGTGCCATCCAGAGCGAGACAGAACAGTTGCAGGCAGCAGCCATGGCCGCAGAAGCAGAGCAGCAGTTGGAAACAATAGCCTGTAGCTAGAGGTGATGGGACACAGACACTTTGCCTGAGCCGTGGAGACTGAAATCACATTGTTCGTAATAAATGAACACTGTATTTTTTTTTTTTTTTAAAATGTATGGAGCATTATACTTACTGGACTTAAGGCAGTACCTGGTTAGGTATTTTTAAAACTTTTCAAGGAAGTAATGTTCCTTGGTTTTGACCAAACAGTTTCACTGTCCTGTCTGGTGTTTAGTATTAATGTTGCCAGTAAGTCCTGCCCCTTCTCTTTTTTTATGGTTTTAATTTGAGGACTCCTGTGTCCATTTCAGAAGTGAGAGACTTCTATTCCATTTTTAATTCCTCTCTGCACTTGCTGCACTGGTGAATGCGCTACACAGAGTCTTAATCGAGTACATTGATTTCCTAATCATAATTGTATGTGACTTGTGGTCAAAACAACATTTTTAATAACTTAATAAAATTATTTCATGTAGACGCAGAAAATACTGGTGGGTGGTTGACCAAGAACACTGCACAAATATGAAAACAAGGCCTGGGAATATAGAATGGTCTTAGATGTGTACTTGATTTGTTCATTTTCTGTCACTGTTTTTTCACAGTTTTTGTGGACAAATAATGAATGGTTGCTTTGCTGAAGTGTTTCTTCATCCATTTTGATTGCCCATACCTATCCCAACAGAGGTGGTAACAAGTCCCAAAGGCTGAGTAAATCCATAGGGATATTGGTGATCTGGTGACTGAGTTCCTTCATTCCTCTTATTTGGGGCATTGCCACTCTGAAATAGATAGGATTTGTGAAGTGGACCAGTGATGAGAGGATTAGAAGAGGGTGAATAGGAACCTGGCTCTCAGAGACAAGTTGTTCACATTTGCAATAATTCCAAGATTTCCCAGATCAGAATAATTCTTAGTTAATTTTGAAATTAGGATAAGAACAGGTATGCCTCTTCAGATACATTTGTGTAACAGAATGTTATCAAGCTTTTGGGCTGTCTGTAGCACATGATTTATTCGTAAAGGAGATGCAATATCGTTACTTAATACATTTAAAATTTTTTACGTGTATAAATAGTATAGAAGTGTTGGTCTTATGTATTTCAAAGAAAAGTAGACAGCTGCACTTTCTTTTGCACATTGGATTAAAATAACTTTCATCAGCAAGAAACATCAGTCTGTTGTTAACCAATATTAAAGTGTCAGACCAAAACATGTTTATGTTTTTGAAGTATATTTCTTCATCACTGGTTGTAATTTTTAGTTGATTGCCTTTTCATAGCTGTAACGGAATTATAAATGCTGTTCCAGTTTTGGTGTATGAAAAAATTTTAAACCATTTATTTAGGAATATATTGAAATACCAACAATAGTTTTAATTATGTTCTATAATAAAGCATTAGTCAATTATTTTAGAATGTACAATTTTAGGAAAATTTTGACTTTTAAAATTTATTTTTGGTTGCTAGGGTTTTTTTTTTTGTTTTTTTTTTGAGACATTAAAATAATTGCATTTCTTAGCTTATCGCATTAACACCTGTAATTACTACTGTGGGAGAAATTTTATTTTTTAAAAGGTGTATATGTTATGCCCAAGATTGTAGGATGAAGATGCTACCTTTTAAGATACTTATTTATTGGTAAAATGTTTAATTTAGTTTAAAATTAATTTAATTTCTTAAAAGTTGTTTTTTCCATCTTCAAAGTAGTTCTGTTACTGTTTATATGCTATTAATAGGAGGGAAATTGATTGATATTCTTAGGCTATTTTAATCAAAGCAAAGGAAAAATAATTTAACATCTGGTTGATAGCTACTTCGACAAACCATTTTGAGGTCCTCATTTTAGTATATATAAGAAAATGTACTTATATCATTTCTGTTTTCTTTTTTTCATAGCAACCTTTCATACATCCAGGTTTCTACCAAAGTGCATTTTCTATACTATATCATGGTTTTTCAGAGGTGTAAGTTATGTGGTTTTAACTCTCATTGAAACCACATAATCACAATGGCATCCCAAAAAAGAAAGCTTAATTTTCTGCCCTTTATTTGTATTGTGTAAATATTTATTGTTTGTCCTATTTTGCATGAGAAATATATTTGTGTTGCAATTTCTACCACTGGTACTGGGTTCATATGTGTATTAGGGTGCTAGTCTTCTTGGTGGCAGGAAAGTCACTGCTTCTCTCCTCACCTAGCTGGCTTTAGTAGTCCCCTGGTTGGGAAACCATCATGTTAGACAGTTCAAGGGTAACTTCAGTCATATGGGATTAATTTTGAAATGTCCTTACACTGAATCTGTCATGTGAGGGGAAGGAAATTCTAAATGTCAATATTACTATCTTTTCCGTTATATAAAGTCACCCACTTTTTTCTGTTTGAACAAAGAGAACTATCTATAAACTTGATTTTACCTTTTTTGCCAACTTGCATTGTATTTGCAATGACTGAGGAAGATAATTTTAGAAAGTGTAAACTTTAGGTCATTTACCAGCTAATTAACTCGATCACAAAAACCCATGTACGTGTAACAGAATTATGTAAGAGTTATAGCCTTAAGCTCTGAGTCGTGGGAGTTAAGGAACTGAGTCTTCCAGGAAAGAGAATGGAGAACTGCCCCTTTCCTCTGCCATTCACCTGTACTGTCTACCCCCTTTTCTCCATTACCTGAGCCCACCACCTTCCCACACCCCACAAATATGTGAGAGACAAGTAAAACATCAGATTGGAGGCAAGGTAACCATTGACAACCATCACAGTGAGAGATGAGGGCCTAAATTTATTCTGATGCTTCATTCTGGTACTTAACTGAAATCAATGAACAATTTCAGTGATGGGGAACTCCCTACCTCCCCAATATCGTGCACTCCTATCTTGAGAAAGTTCTAACTGCTCTTTACTCCTTAATTTTCTCTCCATTTTTGCATATTTTTTTTGTAACTGGGAACTTTCTTCCCCTTACAACTATTCAAAAATAAACTTAATCCTGCATCTACTTGACAATACTTCAAATATGTAAAGATAACCTGTAGTTTAATTTATTCAGCTTGTATTGAGGACCTGGGCTGGGTCCCAGGGATAGAAAGGTAGAAGAGATTTGGCCCCGACTAGCAGAGGTGCTTCCTTTTCCTGTCTTGTCTTAAGCATTATTTTTAAAAATGAGGGTGGCATTTGCCCATCACCTGTTCATGATTCTGTAAAGGTCACCATACTGATCATATCTTATGGGCCCTGAATGTAGTTTAGCTGGGTTGTGACATTTCGTTTTTCTTCACGGTAATTTTCAGTATAACTGGGGGAAAGTATGGGTTAGTAGAAAGACTTCTGTAGTCAAACTTGAATTGGATCCTGGTTCTGTTTATCAGTTAATGTATAAATTTAGGCAAGTTCTTTACTGCCCCGAGTCTTAGTTATATCATTTCTAGAACAGTGATTGGGATTGGTCTGCTGTGAAGATTAAATGTGATAACCAGTACAAAATATTTAGTCCAGCACTCACTACTTTTGAGGTGTACCATAAATGTTTCGTTTTTGAAAAACTTTATTTTTGTTAATCTTCACTGGAGGATATTTTTCCATTGATTTTTAGATAGAATGGAAAGGAGGGAGGGGGAGAGAGAAAGAGAGAAACATCAATTTGAGAAAGACACATAGATTGGTTGTCTACCACACGACCCCAACTGGGGATCAAACCTGCAACAAAGGTACATGTTCTTGACCAGGAATCAAACCTGAAACCCTTTGGACCTTGGGCTCAGCCAAATTGGCCAGGGCAAATCTTTCCTTCTTAAAGAGCATTCTCAGAGAAGCAGAAGCTAAACTGAAGTTCTCTTTATTTTGACATGTCAGTATTACAAAGTGACTTTTTTTCTAATCCTTACCTGAGGAAATGTTTCTATTGATTTTTAGAGAGAGAGAAACATTCAGTGGTTGCCTCCCATACTGTGCCCTGACTGGGAATTGAACCCTCAGCCTTTTGGTGTACAGGGTGATGCTCCAACCAACTGAGCCATTGGCTAGGGCTCAGGTGACATTTTTGAATGTATACTGAAAATATATTTGTTAAATATTACCATTGGCATAGAATGATTCTCATTTTTTCTCATTGATAGTGAATTTGGAAAGGGGAATATAAAGAGTATGGTTTATTTCTTTAAAATAACAGATCCTGGCATCAAGAAAGGACATTGATGCAAAGAAAATTAGACGTATTAAAAGACCAACCTGGCCTTCCAGCTACTTTGGATGAGGTATATTAACAATTTGGAAGGTTTTAGGGGAGGGAACTTCATGAGCAATACAGGGTATGCTCAGTAGCAGCTCCAAAATGAGAAATGAAAGTGAGCAGGTATTCCCTAACAGCCTTCAAACCTAGCAATTGTTGAATATTTACCAACATGATCTCTATGTATGCTTTGTGACAACTCTGAGGCATACCTTATTACTGATGAAAACCAAGATGTGGAGAAGTTAAAAATCCCACCAATGTCAAGTAGTTAACAGAGCCAGGACAGGAAAGTGTGTTGATCTGCCTCCGGAGCCTGTGCCCTTAGTCACCATGTCATAATGCTCTCGAACAGAAAGGAGTAACTGGCCTTAACATACATCTCTTCTAACTTTAGTCCACTGCTAGGAGGAGGAAGACAACAGCTAGAGGAGAGGTAGAGGCATTTATGCAAACAGTTGCCCCTAAGCTTGTATCATAAATTAGTTCCAATATTTTGATTTCTCTGAGACATTTCTCGTGCAAGGAGCCAAATACTACGTTACGCTAACACTATTTTACCTTCCTTTGGGTCTAGAAGCTGCCCCATATAATACGGAAAACTGTAGAGTGTCAAGGATGATTGAAAAATAAAAGAGATACTTGTTGACTTTTCACATGTTCCATTATTCATCTAGTTTGATGTGAAAATTAACTCTTTATGTTTGTAATAAAAAATATCTGTGTTAGGAGACTTCCCCCACCTCTGAAAGGTCCTAGAAAACTTGAATGAAGGTTTTACCTATACTGCTTTCAAGCTGTCACCACCTTGGAATGCTTGCATAATTTTTCAGCCAAAATGCAAATGACAATTCCCTGCCCAGTTTACTCTTGCTTCTTATTTCAAAAGAAAACCTTATTTCTTGTATAAGTAATAGATAGAAATTTTAGCTTTAAGGTTGTTTTTAAGATCAGATATAATTTATTTAAAAGATTACTGACCTCGCCCGGCCGATGTGGCTCAGTGGTTGAGCATCGACCCATGCACCAAGAAGTCCTCGGTTCGATTCCTGGTCAGGAAACGTGCCTAGGTTGTGGGCCAAATCACTAGTGGGGGGGGGAGGGGCATGCAGAAGGCAGCCAATCAATGTTATTGATGTTTCTATCTCTCCCTCTTCCTTCCTCTCTAAAATCAATAAAGAAAAAAAATTAAAAAAAAAAGATTACTGGCCTCAAACAGATAGATGGAGGTGGTTAGAACGTAACCAGATGGGGAACTTAAGTTTACACTTTATTCTTACTCTGTTTACATTTAATTAAGTAAAGAGTGTGTGTATGAGTCTGTTTCTCCTAAATCTTGGAATATTTTAGTTATTCTGTTGTATTTTGCAGTCTTCCAGCAATCCTTCAGCAAATATGAAATGGAAATAGTAACCAGATTAGAGGGCTACTGAATCAGTTGGTCTTGATTAGTGTAAACAAGATTAAACAGTGTGTGGCAAAAGTGTACAGTTGTTCCTATGGAAAATAATACTATAATTAATAATAATAATAAACTCTGCTTCATGTACTCACAACAATAAACCTACTTTTACCCCACCCTGTATTTAATAGTCTATAATAAATGTGGCATTAAAAAAAGAGGAATAAATTATTTTAGGGGCTATATAACTAATTATGATCCCAAACTTCTGTGAATTATGATCTCATAGGAGTTCTTAAATTTTTTTCTAGTTCTATGGAGAAGTAATTGACATACATCATTTTATAAGTTTAAGGTATACAGCATGATGATTTGATTTACATATATTATGAAATGCTTACCACAATTTATTTATTTATTTATTTATTTATTTATTTATTTATTTATTTATTTATTTTTATCCTCACCCGAAGACATTTTTCCATTTTTTGTTCAGGTAGAGTGGGAGGGAGAGAGAGAGAAATAGCGACATGAAAGGGACACATCAAGTGGCTGCCACCCACACGACCAACCATGGCTAGGGACAAACGGCAACCGAGGTGCGTGCCCTTAGCGGGAACCGAACCCGGGTCTCTGAGCAAAACTGGCCAGGGTGCA